TATGATGTCTATTCTTGACTTAGCTCAACTCAACTCTTCCATAATTTTGTTGTCTCTCTTTTTGCTTCTATGTTTCGTTACTTTAAAAAAAAAACTTTCTTTTTCACTTTCTTTCTAAAGTTATTTGTTTCGTATTTCTCTGTTTCTCTCTTTGCACCTTTGTTTCCTTGTACTCCTCTTTTTTTTTTTAAACTTTCTTTCTTTCTTCTTTGTACTCTTTTGGTCCATTTATCTGTATCGTTTTGCTTATTCTATCTCAGTTGTCACAGAACTCCATTTGTCAATTCTCTAAGACTAAAAATGTATATCGTTATTTAAAAAAAAAAAGTAATGGTTGAACTGCATTAATGCATTGTGTGGTAATACACCATCAGATATCTTGTACTGGGAAAGTTAAATAGATAATAGCCAGGAAAATTAGCTTGACTGAAGGATTAGTGAATGCGTTTAACAACCTTATGATCCTCAAGTATCATGGTTCATTTTCTCTTTTTTTTTTAAACATTTTTTTTGAGGTTTTCGGATAATAGTAACAGAGTCGTACTTTGACCGAGTCTTGGACCTCACTGTGTAGTTAATAGGGAGTCTCTGTGGCGAAGTGGTCAAGCGAGAGAGAGAGAGAGAGAGAGAGAGAGAGAGAGAGAGAGAGAGAGAGAGAGAGAGAGAGAGACCGAGCCATATGGGATAAGATCCCCTCGACAATGTGTGTAATTCATATTCACAAAGACAGCAGTGGGTGAAATAAGCCAACCGTCACAATAAAGGCGCCCCCACCCCCTTTTTTACACTCGTACCCCCCCCCCCCCCGCCTTAAAAAAAACGAAGTCACAAATAGGAGCCGCCGAGTTGTAAGGGCTAGACTCTCGTCTGCGGATCCGAATGTCATGGATTCGGGTCCTGACGGAGCCGAACCTCTTATTATTATTATAGTTTTGTTTTTCAAAACGACCTTTGCTCCCGGGTCGACCCAACCTTTTAATGGGTACCAAGTAAAGTCCTGCGAAGCAAAGGCGGCCGGTGTGCTGCTGACATCAACCAACGAGTGCCGATTGGTCTGTAAGATAAAGGTCTAACCATACATGCTCACTATGACTCAGGCGGGGAAAAGAGTCATTACTTTATATCTCACAAGTGTCCGCTAATGAGCAATTCCACGGCTTTTCCCGCTTGCGATTACGGTTTGTTTTCCTCTTTTGGGAATGTAGCCATTATGTTATAAGTCAGTGTTACCCAAACTGTTCTTGATCGCAGCGCCTTTTTTAATTACAATTTTTCCACGGCCCCCTAACCTAAGTAAAAGTTTGACTTTTCGTGTCTTGGTTAAATCAATTATGAAGCTTTTACAATATTTCGTGGCGCCCCTGTGAAGAGGTCGCGGCTTCCCAAGGGCGCACAGTTTGGGAAGTAATTACGTAAATGGTGGTGACTAGTCTTTACACATACACTGTCTTACTTATTTAGTTTCGTATTATAGCCTTCATGTTCACACTTTTTCCTCATTACGTACTTTTTGGTTTCATGTTGACCTTGTGTTTTTTTTTTTTTTTAAATTAGTTTTGTTGTCTTGCCCGTTGAGTTTTTTAGTCACATTTTGTGCTGTATTTAGTATTCTGCTGATAAAGACTTTGGTCGAAACTTTCGGCTGTGTTGTGTGCGTCATTTCCATTCCATCCGTTGAGCTTTCTAGTCATATTGTGTGCAATTCTTGTAATTACAAGTAGCCTGACCTGTAGCTAAAACCATTCGCTTTACTTTAGAGACTAGGAAGTGTTAAATTGGATTTTTCACTTGACAGCGTGCGAGCGCGCGCGCGCGCGCACACACACACACACACACACACACACACACACACGGGGATGCCGACACAAAGAAAATGTTACATTTTGGGGTGGGAGAGAGCAGTCGGGCTCAAGGGCCTGAGCTTCCCCAAATTTCAGCGCCTCTGCGCGCGCTCTCTCTCTCTCTCTCTGTGTCTCTCTCTGTCTCTCTCTGTCTCTCTCTGTCTCTCTCTCTCTCTGTCTCTCTCTGTCTCTCTCTGTCTCTCTCTGTCTCTCTCTGTCTCTCTCTGCCTCTCTCTGTCTCTCTCTGTCTCTCTCTCTGTCTCTCTCTGTGTCTCTCTCTCTCTGTCTATGTCTCTGTCTCTCTCTCTGGGTGTATGTGGGTGTATGTGTGTGTGTATTTATGTTTGTATGTGGATGTATGTAAGTTTATGTAGCTGTGTAGGTATGTGGTGTGTGTGTCTATTTATAAACGTATGCATGTGTGTGAGTATGTGGGTATGTATTATGGATGTGTATGTATAAAAGTATCTATGTGTGTGTGTAGTTATGTATTATCTGGGCATGTGTGTGATTATGGGTTTGTGTGTATGTAGATATATAAAGGTATATTTAGGTTTGTAAGTATGTGTGTGTACTTGTGTATGTATGTTGTAAGTATGTGTGATTGTATATGAGTGAATGTGTGATTGTGGGTGTGTGTGTATATAATGTATGCAAGTATGTATGTATGCAGGTATGCATGTGTGTGTGTATGTATGTATGTGGGTTTCTGTATGGGTGTCTATTTGTGTCTGCATGCATGTGTGTGTATGTATGTAATGTGTGTGGGCATGTATGTGGGTATATTTATGCATGTATGTGTGTATGCATGTTGGTGGATGTATGTATGCATATGTAGCTGTGTAAGTATGTGGATGTATGTGTGTGTGTATTTAGGCATGTATGCAAGTATGTATGTATGTGTTTAAAGGTGTATGTATAGATGTGTGTATGTATGTGGATATCTGTATGGGTGATTGCATATATGTGTATGTAATGTGTGTGGGCATGTATGTGGGTGTATGTATGCATGCATGTGTGTATGTATGCATGTTTGTGGATATATATATATAGCAGTGTAAGTATGTGAGTGTACGTGTGTGTATTTAGGTATGTATGCAAGTATGTATTTATGTATGTAAAGATGTAGGTGTATGTATAGATGTGTGTATGTATGCATGTGTGTATGTATATATGTATGCATGTGAGTATAAATGTGTGGCTGTGGGTGTATGTGGGTGTCTGTACATGTGATTGTATGTGTGTATGTGTGTGTATGTATGTATGTATGTATGTATGTATGTATGTATGTATGTATGTATGTATGTATGTATGTATGTATGTATGTATGTATGTATGTATGTATGTATGTATGTATGTATGTATGTATGTATGCATGTGAGTGTAAGTATGTGGTTGTATGTGTGTGTATTTAGGTATGTATGCATGTATGTATGTATGTGTCTAAAGATGTAGGTGTATGTATAAATGCGTGTATGTATGCATGTGTGTATGTATATTTGTATGTATATATGTATGCATGTGAGTGTAAATGAGTGGTTGTGGGTGTATGTGGGTGTCTGTACATGTGATTGTATGTGTGTGTGCATGCATGCGTGTTTGTTTTTTTGTTTGTGCATTTATGTCTATGTATGGGTGTGTGTTTTCTGTTTGTGTATGTATGTAGATGCCTGTATGTATGTATTAGGTATGTCGGTATATGAATATGCATGTATGAGAATGTAAGAGTATATATACGTGTGTGTGAGTGTGTAAGATTGTGTTCATATGATGTGTGTATGCACTATTAAATAATGCATAGATCTTTATTATATCAATAACATGCATTATTGATAACAGGCATTGGTACTCTGAAAAATGAGTGCTTAGAAGGGCCGAATGTCAGACGGGCCTGCATGCCCAGTTTGTAACCCTTCGAAAATAAAGTTTGTTCGTTCGTTCGTTGGTTCGTTCGTTCGTTCGTTCGTTCTCTCTCTCTATCTCTCTCTCTCTCTCTCTCTCTCTCTCTCTCTCTCTCTCTCTCTCTCTCTCTCTCTCTCTCTCACTCACACACTCACACACAAACACTCGCTCACAGACCTGTACACGCACATATGTACACACGCGCGCACGCCTCTTCCCTAAACACACCCACAACTACACATGTTTATGTGATGCGTTAGATAACACTTTTTGTTTTTTGAATAAAGTTTTTATTTTCCTTTCAGCCTTCAATACAGCGATGTTCCATTGATATCAACATAAGAGTTAGGTAGTTGTACCCCACCAGGACATCACACGAGCGATAAACACCCGGTGACACAAAGTGCCACCATTGCGGTTGAGGATCACCCGTGGAGAGGTCCCAGAAACCCCTTTCAGCCCTTAGGCCATGACTATGGCTAGGCCATATCTATGCCCTGGCTATATTCAGGGCTCCAGGCAGAAGCAGGGTGGGGCTTCAAATTACGAAGAATTGCATCCCACATGAGAATGGCGGATGGTAAACATATTTAATAACAACATATCAAGGGGGAGATCATGCAGAATATGGAACAACGGCATCAGTATCAATTTTTAAAGTAATGAGGACCATGTTACAGATCAGACTGAGGATCCTTACATCTCACCTGTCTCCCCATTTCATTTCTTCCTGAGAACCTAGATAAATTTACTAGAAAAAGAAGGAGGAGGGGAATAAGATGAAAAGAAATAATAACAATAATCCACATGTATTTTTGTGATCATCATCATCAGCATACGTTGGTGTCGCTGGGTCACCAGTTGCTGTTGACTGTCTGATGAACTCCCTCTACATTTGACGGTCAGATGCAATGGACTTCATGACTGCATGCCTAAAACCTGTCCGGTCAATCAAGTTATACGTCCAGGCCTATCTTTGTCTGTTTCTTCAACTCTTTCCCTCTACTGAGCCTTGTAGTAATGAGAGCCCGTTGTATTTTACTACATGTCCGCACCAATGCATGTTCCATCTTTTCATTGCAGTTAAAAGAGGCTCATAGTTGTCAATGTGCTAGTAAATCATATGGCGAACAAAGGGCAATTTGTGATGTGGTCTTTGAATGATATGTCAAGAATATGTTTTAGATATCATTATATCTTTGTTTTCCTTTCTAAATATACAGTAGGTGTAAACAATTAAAAAGAACATATACTGACCTTTTGTAGACACGGGCATGGTCTTACACAATCTCGGACACGGCGTAGAAACGACTGTTAAATCGCCTACACTTTCTAACTACTACAGTCTTTAAATGATATCACCACAGTTGTTCTAGAAACAAAAATGTGCCTCTAGCCTATGCAGAATCCAAGTAGAACGTTTTATCTAAACGTCACTTTGTCTAGCTCCCCAGACAGACTATATCTCTTGTCCTAATCCACTCGCGTGGCTAAGCCAAGGAGTGCTTATGTGTTATGATCCTGCCATGCAACGACTAATATCCTTGTGCGTATCGATAACAGGAAACTCTGCAACCAGCCTGACAGAAATCAGACACCAGATTACGTACCAGCCTATTTATGACTGGTTTAGTGACGTAGGGTCTACCAGGAGTCTACAGGTCGCCACAACACGGCATTGCACTGACACGAAACTTACTACTTATTTCCAATCGGGCGATCATACCGTACTCAGTTTAGGTACGTTGGACGGGGTGAAAAAAGGGGGAGATTGGGTCGGGGTATGACATAAGAATCGATATCAATACAAGGTGAGCCCCGCCCCCCCCCCCCTAACTTCCCTAATCCCCCAAGGAGAAAGCGTGACGTTTAGAATGCCAAGAAAAAGAAACTAAAAAGCTTTTAAGATTTGAAATAGATCAAGATAGGTGTACAAGCTGTTAGAAACCCATCAGTTTAGATTAGCATACACAGCTTTAGTCTGAAGAGGATTGTGTATGTACGCGCAGGTAAATGAGCGTAACATATATTGGCAGGTAGAGAGAGGCAGGCAGGCAGACAGACAGACGGACAGACAGACAAACAGACAGACAGACAGACAGACAGACAGACAGACAGACAGACAGACAGACAGACAGACAGACAGACAGACAGACAGACAGACAGACAGACAGACAGACAGACAGACAGACAGACGGACGGACGGACAGACAGACAGACAGACAGACAGACGGACGGACGGACGGCGAGCGGACGGACGGACAGACGGACGGACAGACAGACAGACAGACAGACAGACAGACAGACAGACAGACAGACAGACAGACAGACAGACAGACAGACAGACAGACAGACAGACAGACAGACAAATAGATCCACGGCTGACTGAATTTAGGATGCATAGTTAAGCAAATAATGTAATCAAGATGCAGAATAGTGTCAGGCTGATAAGCAGCCACACAAATGAAGAATAAAGAGCAGCAAATAGAAGGCAATAAAAGCTGATAAATACACAGACTAAACACCAGTCAAATAGAGAGACAATTAAGCAGCTAAGCCCTTCGGCAGGCATGTCGTTAAATACTGTAAGTAGTTGGTAGTTTGACAGGCAAAACGGACAGTCTACGAGATAAAATAAAAGTTTATTACAGCCATTATATCAGCCCTGTTATATAATTAACAATAGAGATATTAAAATACGAATACAATAGACAATAGGAGCTTTCGTGGCGCTAGAAAATCTGTGAAAGTCAAAATAAATTAAAGCTAATACTAAATTAATTTTTTTTTAATTATTGCAATGTCAAATATAGAACTGCTGTGTGGGCGGAAACATGGAGAACAACTAAGGCAAGAAACTACAAACATTTTTTAACTGGTGCCTGCTCAGAACAAAAGAAATAAAATGGGATGATCACTAATGCTGAGCTTTGGATGAGAATTAAACAAGTTCTAGTGAACCAAGAGGTTAAGAAAAGACGCTGGCGCTGGATAGGAAACGTGTTGAGAAAACTTGGGAACAATATAACTAGAATGTCTTTGCACTGGAACCCACCGGGGTATATAAATAAAAGCACACCAACAACACACGTAGAAGGGAGCTAGAGAGTGAACCACTGGGCCACAAAAGGCAGAAGAAGAATATAATTAAACGAATATGCGTAACGTGTCTGACAAATTACAGGCACAAACTGATTTAGTGGGATGCAACGTCTTGTATTTTGTTATCTTACTACTTTAAACGTTACTGCGGACAAATCTGTTTACTATTACTGAGGGCTGTGGGGACAGTGCAACCACGACTGTCTCCAGCTGGTGCAACTGAACAGACCAAATATCCACACATTGATAGACTAATTCAGCCAGTGGTGAACAGGTGGGTTTGGAAGAGATTAAACATTGAGGGGGGAAACATACGCGAACTCTTAATCAGATTGCAACAGGTACTATTAGCATATCGACTCTTCGTTGGCTACTTTAGAAGAAGACGGAGCATGTGTGGGAATGTCCTGAGTGCAGGGATATCCATTCTTGATTTATTGATTTATTTATTCGATGAAAAAAACAATGAGAATACTATGTCTCCAAAGGAAAGCGTTTTTAAAATGGACCCAAACTCGTTTGTAGTTACTTCCTGTGTGGGTTTCCTGGATCCTATTGTGGGGTGAACAAGAACAGACGCACTGCCTCCCCCACATGTAAGTCGTAGGAGTCAACTAACTGGGGCTTCCTTCGAAGTCTGGGTACATCTTCTGGAGAGGCAAGGAACCAAGAGTCTGAATAAAAATAAGCCATATTTGTGAAACGAATGTGTACACAACACTCATGTTCTGCGACAAGACTAAAGCCCGGAGATGGACGAACACCCAAAACTTTCCTTCGGAGTTTACAGCCGGTGAACGCGAAGAAGAAGAAGTTTGTACTTACGAAATTACCTGGGTTTCAAACAGAACTGGGCTAATTATTGGGTCAGCTAGACACACACACACACACAAAGTAAAAACATTCAAGACTTACTTGCTTCAGAGCTTATAACTTTTACCTTTTAATGGACACATCTTCTTCTTCTCGATCACTGGCTGTCCGGCGGAAAGTTCTGGTTGTTCGTCCATTTATGGAGTCTAGTCCTGTTCCAAAACCTGAGTGTTGCGGGTTCATCCATTGTTGTTTAGGTCTGACAGACTGTTGGTTCTTTGCCTCTCAGGAAAATGCACTTCGACTTTAAAGGAAGATCTCAGTTGGTTGACTCTTACGACATGCTTTTATGTAGGCGGTGAGTCTATTATTGTTCTGCCCGAACTCACACGGAAAAGGGGGGGGGGGGTGGGGGCACCTCAAGAACGCCACTGTTTACTGTCAAAAATGTCCGTTATGCGAATTGTATTTGAGATGGTCCAGCGGGAAAGGAAAGACTAGAATGTCATTTATCTGACTATGCTGTTTACCTTGCTGATAACTTTAACACATGTGCATAGAGACGAAAGTTTTAATAATAATTCAAGACTTACCTGCTTCTGTGCTCATAATTTGACCTTATAGTAAGCAGCTCAAGAATGTCACTGTTTTTTGACAAAAATGCCAGCTATGTGAGTTTTTGAGATGCTCCAGGCAGAGAGACAGACAACGAGCCGATCCCGTGCAGGTTCAGTATATAATGAGCCGGACCATGCAGGTTCGATAACCGATGAACTGGTCCCTGCAAATACTATAGATAACGACCTGTTTTCCACAGAAACAACAGGCAACAGCCTGGTCCGTGCAGATGCAACAGATAATGACCTGGTCTGGGCAGATACGATAGAAAACTAATTGATTATGTATATAACTTTGGTAGTCCCTGTGCTATTGTCTGCAGCTTGCGTGGACACTAGCAAATCTATGCAGTTATAGTGGGCTATAAGCCGACATATATTAAAGACACTATACGGACGTTACAGACACTGTAAGATCTGTGCAGATATGGCTCTCAACGTGCAGGCTTATGTAGATGTCCTAGATATTGAGCTAATGTGGCCACTGGACGCTGAGCTAGTCTGTGGAAATCACCGGGCTTGTCTAAAAAAGATAGCAAATAAAAGCGCAGTCGTTTGTTGCAGTAGCAGATCAAAATTGACGCCACCAACTGGCAAAAATCAATAGAAAAACGATCTTATATTGACTATTGAGCGCCGCCTGCTGTAGAATTGATGCGGATAATATTAGCTGGAATGTTTGTACCGACTCCCACAGCGAAGGAACTAAGCAGGCTGGAAAAAAAAAAAACCAGTTTGCTGGCAAAGGTAGAGACGCAAAGACGATTAACTCGTGAGAAACCTGGGGGTAATTATGGGGGGTGGTAAGGGTGTCTGGTATTGAGTCGAATTCTTTGGGGGATTTTAAAAAGGATCAACAGTCATGCCAGTGCCAGGCTCAGACGGAACCACACAAAGGTTGTTCAGATATGAATAATTATACGGGTGCGTACAATATGCTTTGTAGTCCGAGAAAGCGCAGTTGTTAGCACTCTTACCTCCTCATTCAGAAGTTATGGTCTCGAAATATTCAGTGCTGGATTTTTTCCTTTTTTTAAATTGACCTAGAGTTGAGTTGAGTTGATTCAAGAACCGACATCACAGCACTCGGGGCATTCCCATGAACGCTTCGTCCTCATCTTCAGCATCCAGCGTAGAGTTCCAATACCATTGGTGAAGGTAGCGCTCTGAGAATACGTCCGTGCCTGCGTCGAATATCTACCAGATCCCCTTGTCATTTCCCGCTGCATCACTCTCATCAGACTGTGGTGATCTATTTGCTCCTCTGGACTGTACACACTGACCTAGAGATTTAGTTCAAACCGGCCTACAAATGGTACCATGGAATTTTATGGGATAAATGTAATGGCGTCATGTTGACTACATCTGCCCTTGAGTGTTTATCTGTCGGACCAGCACCAGGTACCCAGCATGCCTCGAGACGTGTAAAACTAAAAGCTTTTACTTACTTATTACACTTTGTATTTCTAATTTCTCTTTTTGTGTAAAAATTTAGCTTGTGTTTTACTCAGTGAACAAAATCACCAGAGTGATGTTGATCACATCACCTATCAAAGGCCGACTGGCCTACAAAAATATGCGTCTAGTGCCTATATGCCCGGTATACCACTGGCGTGTAAAGGAACCTTACTGTAATAAACCTTGGCTTGACTTGGACTGCGCTTTGGCTTACTACTTATTGGCTTTAGCCACGGCTCACTCTCTGGATGTTACTGCTACACAACTTGCACTGCTTTAACGTCTA